GGTCAAAATTCTTATCAAGTGCTGCACAAATCTTATGACAGTGGGAACGCTTTGATTTGACAGTGACTTGTTAAAAGTGCCATGGCCAATCAAATGGGGATCAAAATATGTAAGAATTTGTGGTATTCACCTTACATTTGACTGATTTTCCTTTGTAATAAAATAAAATAACATAACATTTCACAAACAATTTATTTATTTAATAAGCATTATTTTATACTTTACATGTCTGATTCACCCTGATATAAAAAGAAATCACTTTCTTTATTAAATCATTAAATACAAATTAGCATAATCCACTCTATTTCAGCATCGAAATAATGACGGCACTGCAAAGCAACAAATTTTAACAGTGAACCATATTTTTCTTACTCAGTTCTCCTGCAAGAGATTCTAACTTTTCCTTGGTACGGCTGATAAGGACCAACTTCAAGCCTTGTCTTGCGAGCTGGAATCACCATAAAAGGAGTTAATAAAATTAATACATGTAAAACTGTTGTTATAAGTTTAATTATTACATTAGGCATGAATGTTTTTCTAGAAAATACACCACTTGTAAAAAAAATTAAAATCATATGAAGCTAGTCATGCACATCAGAGACCCAAATGGAGCAATTTCCATATCCAGTTACTAGTGAAGACCTACAGTGTACGATGTTTATTAATTAATGACCTCATTTCCCACTTTTTCAGTTTTTTTTTTTGTGCAAACAGTCATTTTGTATATTTTTATAAAATAAAAAGAAAATCACACGATGGCTTTTACTCACTTGCTGCGCTTACTGGTAAAATATTGTTTTTACCACCCAAAAAATCTGAATTCACATTTTTTGACACCATGTAATATCCCCTATTTACTATTAAATTAAATAAGTACATCTAGTTATTTAGTAATTGGACTGAGTGGAGTACAATTCAGGGAGCAATCACACAAGTAATTTCAAAATCGAACGAGCACAGAGCATGAGGTCAATTTTCAATCATTTCTAACAGTATGGCAGTTTGGGCATTGCCTACCTGATCATGGGAAAAATAGCTTTCAAAGGGGGGGGGGGGTGCAAAGCTTAAAATACATTGAAAAAAATATCATGGGGCACGGGGATGTGTTCTCTTAGATCAAGATCATAATCTATTGCTTATACTGAATTAGGTTTAGGTGAGGCAAGGCACTAGCCTTGAATAAGATTTCAAGGACAAGAACACTTGAAACTTGAACTTATACAAGTAGTCTGCTTTACTGTCATCCTGCTACGTCACTGTGATACATGATGTACAATAAAATACTGGAGCATGTGCTCATGTAACCTGTTTGTAACTTGTGATTTTAGCCTGATTACCTCATTAGTGTAAGCTTTTCCTATTCCATCTGTGCAGCCTGTGATGACTACAGAACATAAATAAAATAATACAACTTATCACCCGATCGCACTCAGCAATGACTGAATTAGGCATCTGATGAATGGCCAGACAGATAATAGACCATTTTAAAGTTGTTTGTTCAGTGACCTGGCCTTTGAATGGTAACAAGGCTGCAGGTGACCTTGTTTTGATGAAGACCTCACTTCTTTTGTTGTGTAAAGTAAATCAAGTTGTCCTTATGCTAACTTGTTGGAATTTAAATGAGAAAGCCAAGAGATCTGTATCAAGGCAAGGTCACCTCCAGCATCGCTTGCATTCACAGACCAGGTAACTAAGCACACAACTGTAAATTGGCCTATTCATCTATCTGAGACATCTACAATCATGGACAAAAGTCCCTGGGACACTTAAATTAAATATAAATTAACTAGTTATTTGTGTTTTACCACTGAAGTTTGAAAAAAGTGCCGCTTTCCTTTTAAAAACACGTTGCTCTTCCCCCTCCCCACCCAATACAATTTTGAAAATCAGAAGAAATTGAAGGTAGTAGTTTTCAACATTGTATGGGGGGTAGGGGGCGAGGTTAGACAGGTGAAGTTGTATTCGCGTCTGGCGTGTACCCAAAAGCACCAATTATGACCAATTATGGTATAAAATTCATCTTTGACTGATTCGTTGTTAGCACATCTTCTAAACAACTTCTACAGTGCACTGAGAGACAAATTAATTGATAACAAATTCTTCCACATACTGGACTTAACACTGGAAACATGGCATTTATGCAGACAGACAGCCTTTATTTAGGCACCATAAAATTGTGCAAAAACATTATGAAACTAAATTAGATGATTGATCCATCTTAGATGGATTTAAGTCATCTCAGAAGGATTATTAGCTACTGAATATAAATTCAGCCTATATCTAGGATTCCAAGAGCAAAAACAGTCTCAGATCTAAGACTTGTCTAAAGCCCACACTACTTGCGGCTTGCGGCTTCGCATGACACGCTTGCACGCTCACAACTGCTCACTTTTGTTGCATTCTTCTTTAACTCTACAAACCATCAGAGTTGATTTGTAACCCTCATGGATTTGAACTATCACGTCCAATCTAACTGAAATAAACTGCTGTGTGTGATGTTGTTTTTACGTCATTCATCAGATTCTAGAATTCTGATAATGTATTTTAATGCTGCGGGCATTTACGATACATAGCCTGCATACTGTAAACGTTACAAATCTGTGGGTTTGTTTGTCACGCAAACCACACGTTTCCGATAAACAGACCGTCACGGACAAAACCATGTTTTGACCGTCACGAGTTTTACCAAAGTCCTTCTCAAGGCGAGGTAATGTTGTTTTTAATTCATCCACCAGATCCTATAATACTCTAAAACAAACCAAAAATTATCCTGGTCTCCAGTGAAATCAGCTCCATAAACAAATGAAAGCTTTTGTACACCTGTGCGTTGAGTGTTGAGCAATCCACACGTAGCATAATTTTTGCACAAGAAGCCAAATTTTCCGGGCTTACAAATAACCTTATTTAAATAAAATAGATCGAATTGCTGGGGATCTTCAACTTTATCAGAAGACTATACAATGCATAATAAGGAGACTAACTTGGAAAAGGCGACGAAAAGTTTGCAATGACAAGAAAAAA